AGAAATTTATTCTAAGTGATTCAAGCAAACGATCAACTCAGTGACCAATCAAAGTTTGGGTCATGTTAGTTTGGGTAAAAAATGCACAGTATATTCATCAACAAAACTGGACTATCAGTAGAGGTGTTAGTAGTTGGTTTTTTCAAGACAGGATTTTAGTTTGGGGGCTGGATTAAATTTGACTTCATAGGTCCTAAACTAGTACCAGTAGATCTGTTTTACAATACTGATATGAGTCAAGTAATTAGTCACTTAATGGTTGAGTAAAAGGGGAATTGTGTGTGATTCTGTGGTACACGTGAAGTAAGTCGTGTGGAGAGCGAGCGAAAGTTTGTGTGATCAGTCGTAGTGCCATATGAAGCGAACAGACGTGATAGTACTCTGCCGAATAACAATGGTTGAAGAGTATTTAGGTAATGAACCCTACCCAAAATCTATGGAGTCATTAAATACTTTTTTTCTCACAGTTGTTGCTTGCTGTAAATTGACTAGGGTAGTGAAATGTTTCCAATCATTACTCTTTGAATTCATTCATTATGAGAAGATTTACACTAGTCTGACCTTTTTTACAGTTTAAAAAGTAGGCTTCATTAAATTCTAGAAATGTATATATAGCGTCACATTTCTTTATCGCTTGTAAGTAAATAGGCTTTGATGGCACCACAGCTGAAGTGGACTCAATTTTGAGTGTAAAACCTTTTGCGCAAAACTGCTAAAGTTCACGAATTTCCTGGAATAATTTGAGCGCCGAGTCAGATTGATTCATTATAAATTATTTAAATTAATCCCAGCGTGTTAAGGAAATCAAAACAAGATTTTTCTGAACGTTTCACCGTGTAAGCCACAGCTTCTTCAGCAGATTTTTTCGGATTAAGTTCAACTTACCAAAAAAATATTCCATGATATTTCCATCTTTGCTTTCTTTATTATTTTCCAGAACAGAAGTATAATCCTATAGAGAATACTACAGCTGTACTTAATAAATCTATTCATCGTGTAGAATTCGATTTGGTGACAACGCGAGTTGTCCGTGATATTCCTGCACTACATTTTGAAGCCATGGATCCATCGTAATTGTATTGCTTCCAATGTGTACATTTCTGTGGTGTGGTGGTAAATTATGATAATCACTCACTCACTATCTCTCTACCCCTCTTTGTGTCTCTCTCCTCCACTCTCTGTCTGTCTGTCTGACTCTTCTCATTCAATCGTTCATTCGTTAAAAGAAGTCAATTTTGTTGACTTTTGATTTTTTCTTTTCACGAATTAATCAGTTCATGTGTTACATTTACAAAGAGAAAGTTATTGCTTTAAAACTATATACTACTGATTTAATTGGGGCGAGTAGTTAGATACTACTAATATTAAACAGTATTAGTGCTTGTTAGGTATATCAAAGTGATCTGAACACTCGACGGATGTTTCACTCGTTTGGGGTGGAACTCATCAGCCAACGATGTACCCGATGTTTGACTCAGCTCAGAAAACCGATGAAGTTCAGACCATTGTGATTTAGGCTAGTTAGCTTTTATGTGGACGACCTAGTAACAGCATAAATCAAATTCACAACTTGGAAGTTGATTCCTGGTTTACACATTTCGAGGAGGTGATTGTAACACCTTAGTTTCTATAAATGCGAGCTCCTCTTCAATCTTTTTGCTGAACATATATATATATATATTTAAGTGTTGGTTTGTAGGGATTTGGTTGGTTTCAGGATTTCGTCATCAGCTGACACTAGTTAGAGAACCATTGGAAAACCTGGGAGTACTGGACAGCTGTTTCGTCCTAGTTTAGGACTCTTCAGCAGTACGCACCCACCGGGATTCGAACCCAGGACCTTCCGGTTACAAGGCGAGCTCGTATACCATTAAGCCACTGGGACCTGATCCAATGGTCCTTGAATTCTAACTTCTATCCATTCGCGGCATAGCGCGACCGCTAGCCAATGTCTTCGGCGAGTATTTGTCCTCATATATATATATATATATATATCTTGTTGTGTAGATGTGAAAACTTATTTTGTTTTCATTGTATCATTGAACTATATCGAATTATTTGAATTCAACAATGACATGAAATTATTAAACTGTACACTGATTTGAATACGGGAAGTTTGTAGAATACAACACGCGAAATATAACTGAATTCAATTCACTCCACTGTGTTTATTGTTTTTGCTCTACAAAAAATTATAAAAGGAAGTAGTCGTATGAAATTGTGAAAATCTCGCGACCATGAAAATACAGTCCGTGATGTAGAGACTACATGGTAATACTCCTTTGCAAGATTATTCATCAACATACTTGTCTTCGAGACAACCCTTTTCCTCGACAGTATTTTAAACTTTCTATAGTTTTGGTTTGTAAGGATTAGTTATGTTTTACGAGTTGATCACGGATTGATATCAGTTAGAGAACCATTGAAAACCAGGGAGTACTGGACAGCTGCTGTTTCATCCTAGTTTGGGAATCATCGGGAGTACGCACCCACTGGGTTTCGAACCCAGGACTTTCCGGTTACAAGGCAAGCTCGTATACCATTCAGTCACTGGGACCCGATTCAACGGCTCGTGAATTCTAACTTCTACCAATTCGTGATTTAGCGCGGTTGGGGTCGCGACCCCACGAATTGGTAGAAGTTAGAATTCACGAGCCATTGAATCGGGTCCCAGTGGCTGAATGGTATACGAGCTTGCCTTGTAACCGGAAGGTCCTGGGTTCGAAACCCAGTGGGTGCGTACTCCCGATGATTCCCAAACTAGGATGAAACAGCAGCTGTCCAGTACTCCCTGGTTTTCAATGGTTCTCTAACTGATATCAATCCGTGATCAACTCGTAAAAGTATTTTAAACGCTTCCGTCGACAAAGACTGTTGCCTACGGGTAGGAATTTACGTTGTCTTACTGGATCGTATGTCGAAACTGCTCATGATGCATATTGAGTCAAGTGCTTACTACATTCAGTCGTATTCAATCAACTGTGGATTTTTTAAATTTATTGTGTCACACTAAATTTTTCTGTTTTTGTCACAATATGTAGGATCATATGCATATATTCTTCACTCTCCAGGCCGACTTTTAACTAATACTTTTCTCATTCCTTTATGTTCCGAGTGGAATATAGCGCTTCACGCTTTCGGCTCTTAAGTTTCTGTAGCAGTGGTGTTTATTGTTTTACGGAGTGGAATTTTTAGCCTTATACCCACTCCTACCTCGCTTTCTGCGAGACTTACTGGTTAAGTGAGAGTGGCCGGGAATCGAACAGCGCAGACCACATGTGTGACTGGTTTGCCGTCTACCATTAAGCTATTGACGCACGGGCTGTAATTACACCACTTAATAATAATAGTAATAATATGCCAGAATAGGATGTTTTAAAATGTTTTCAAAATAGATCACAAACTGATTTCAGTTAGAGAGACATTGAAGATAAGTGCTGGAGTAGCGCACAGCTGTTTCATCTTAGCCTGGGGCACACTAATGATCCCACAAGGAGTCGAACCTATGCCTTCTAGGTTACAATGTCAGACTGGATACCATGCAGCCCCGGAAATACCTTACTTTGTTTACCTGAATATTTTAAGTCTTCTTTGTTGTATTTGATTATTATTATCTATTATTTCAAATTCGATCACAAAATGACTGCAGTTAGAGAATCGTTAAGAACTAGACAGACTATTGGACAGTTGTTTCGCCTTAGTTTAGGGCTCTTTAACAGTACGCACCCATCACCCCACCGCTGATAGTGATGGAACCACCTCGAGGCTTCAGGTTGTGTGGTAGGCTGATTTCTATTCAGTTACTAGGTTAATGGAATCCTTCGTCTGCAACAATGGTTATTCACAAGTTAAAAATTACGCGTTTCATTCCAATAATCGAAAAATGGAGAAATAAACAAAGTCGACAAACTACTTTCATAGAATAAAATGTGTTTCGCCTTTGTTTGGGACTCTTCATCCGTCATCCACCGAGCCGAAACGGAGATCTCACAGTTGCAAGGTGAGCTGGTAGATCATTCAGCCACTGAGACTCAATTCAATAGCCTATGAGAAGTAGTAACCAGGTTGAGGGTCTGTGAAATTAACCAGGAGGACAGCTACTCGCCTATGACATTAGCTGATGGTGATGGCGCTGCATATATCGTGCGAATTGTCAGAAGTTGGAATTTATTGACTAGTGATTTGACCAAGTCGCAGTAGCTGAATGGTTGTTAGCGAGCTCGCCTTATAACCGGAAGGTCCTGGGTGGTTTGAACTCCAGGGTGTAATTACTGCTGAAGAATTAGTGCCAAACAGCTATCCAGAATTTCTCTGCTGGTTCTCCAGTGGTTCTCTAACTGATGTCAACCAGTTCGTGACCAAAAATCTGTAACCAATGAAATCCTTGGAAACCAACACTTGATAATAAAATATATTATTAGAAGTTTTTATTCAGAAAAGCCAAAGGAAACACAATACAACCAAAGTAAACATACTTAAAGTCACATAACAATGATAATAACGTGTACATGCCTCATAAATTACTTAAAATGGTATATTAGTTTGTTTAAACCCAAAAATGAAGTTAAATAAAGTAAAGTGAGCTGAAGTAGAAAGTTACGTAATAATAAAGGATATTTTATTTAAAATAATGGTCTTTTTAACTGATTACTAAAATGTTTGGAGAGTAGTGGTAGTAGTAGTAGTAGTGGGCGTCGTGGGGAGGGGTGTCAGCAGGTAGGTGTGTGTGTGAGCGAGTGTCAAAGGGGGGAGTTCGTAGCCGAAGAAAAAAAAGCGAAATGAGTAATATGTTAACGGAAAACAAACAAGTAGTGCTTAGAACCAGGATGCGCATTGTCAGTTTATCGTATTAATTAGTGCATTAGTTACTGCTGTGCATGTGGCGGTACGACAGTTCAGTAGATAGGGTGGGGGTAAGAGTTAGGGGTTGAGGTTTTCTTTTTCAAATAACAAAAACAACAACAGAAAACAACGAAACTTTAGGATATTACATTTCCACATTAAATGTCGACGTCAGTCGGTGAATGAGATGTATAACTTGTACTTGGAAGTACATAGGCAACAGATGATGACTGAGTTATCGTTTTCATCATACGAGATGCTTCTGGTTGAATGAATTCAGCAACTAAATATCCACGTACCATAGCTTCTCTAACAGACAGACGTTCAGTTTGTTCTGAACTACTACCGCTACTATCACCCTTCTTAACTACTGATGTAGTGAACAGCATACAGCCTGTGTCTTTGTCGATTAAACCTGTGCGTATCGCCGAGGTGATATCCAAAGTGATTGGTGTATGTCTAGATTGACCTGGATAAACCGGTGGTGGTCGAATCGAATGGACTATATACCTATGACGTTGTATTTCTGGTGTCCTCCAGACTATTTTAGCGTCCAATGACGATGGTGCCTGTTGATGGGGGTGTACAGATTTCTCGTGAGCTAAACGTACAGCCTTTGAAATGACAGCATCAGTTAATGGGATAGATGCAGCAGATGAATCAGTCAGTGAGGATTGCCTTCCACCAAGTTTTTCGTAGTCCCAATAGACAACTCTTAACAGACCACGATAAAATGCTTCTCCAGCGCTGATATATTTATTTGTTCCTGGTATAATAACTTCCTTCAACTTTAATTCAAATAATTTACCAGGACTGTCAATCCATACTTCATCTTGTCCACCACGATCATCATTCCGACTATCATCTCTACGACGATCTGTCTCTGTTGTTGTGGCTGGATGCCATGTAACCATTGAATATTCTTTCTCTTCTTCAATCCGTTGGCTTGGATTTATACGAATCACATCTTCATCAGTTAAGTAAACTGGTATATATGTACATTGCTTATCTGTAGTTAGCGCCTGTGATTGGTGTTCATGGAATCGTGTTTGTGCTTGGGCGTCTTTTAATTGTGTTATCGGTAGAACTTGTGGTTGTATTGATGTTGTATGTAGAGGTATAGGGATTGTGGCTTGGTTACCGCATGCAGGACAGACATAAGTTTGTTCAAGGCTTAGCATTGATTGTTGTTCATGTGTTGTTTCTGTATAGGTTGTAGTTGTAGTAGTTGTGGTACCGGCTATTCCTTGTTGTTGTTGTTGGCGATGGTGTCCGATAGTCGTTAGCTCTTCTGTGGTTGGAGATAGTGGACTAACTGCTGAACCAGTACGTGTTGGTTGATGTACACCGCTACCACTTGCCTTAGCGATGAAGCTATGCCCTCGTTGGATACGTTTATTTTTATGCGGGGGACGTGTCACAAATGGTATATCACTGGTTGTTTGTGTAGCAACACTTGAAATATTCTTAAGTGAAGTAACTAAGTTACCAGTTGAGGTGAATTGTGTTTTTGCTTCAATTAATCTTGATTTACCGGACTCTGATCTTGCTCGATCAAGAGTGACTGACAGTTCAGGAGTTGTAGTTGACCGACCAATCATTCTAACACGTGATAACAGGTACTGTTGACCCCATAGAGTCAATAAATTTTGGAAGCATATTTCAGCATCCGTATAAATATCATCATGTTCATGCATATCGTGTAAATCAATATCTTGTAGATGAACTTCTCTTAATGATCTGGCCCCACCACTAGGTCCAGCACCATAAGCTAAACGTGAGTCTAATGAACTTCCTCTATCTTTATAATCCTCAGTAAATAATTCCTCTCGGACATATCGACGATCACCGTGTTTATGTATTGTGGTTATCTTTTTAGATGTTTTAGGTAATTGATCACCAACAGCTATCATCTCTTCATCTAACTGATCCTCTGCTTCATCATCCCCTTCATGTTGACCAACATTTAAATTACTTGGTAGGCTGGATGTTAATAAATCACTATGATCAATAATCTTTCGAGTGACTGGTCCACGACGACAATATGATGATAAACCTTTTCTAGCGATTGTCGTTACTACACGTTTAATATAATAATCATCTTCACCGGCATCACTAAGTGGTAGGTCTGTCTGTACACCAGTGCTAATTGATAAATCCAGTGATATTTTATGTTTTAATGTTTCTGTAGTCTGTGTAACACCAGTTAACATAACTGGTGCTGACTGAACACCCCAACTGACAACATCTGGTGATTTTGGTGATCTAGTCTTCGACCTGGTTGATGAAGGTGGGGAGGGTGTTGTTCGTGTCCTTGATGTTGCTGTTCTTGGTGAAGTCGATGGACTAAATCGTGTATTTATTCCAACAGAATGATATTCATGTGAATAATAGCCAGTAGAATCAATGATTGGTGTTCTTCTTGGTTCTTGTAGACGTTTCTGAAACACTATATCACTATCTCTAATATGAATGTCACTTTGATGATACGATGCAGCCGCGGCGATTAGTTCATTTCGTCTGAAATCTATCTGACAACATTGTTCTGCTGTTGGTTTTTCTAGCTGAACAACTGATGTTGACATTTTTATTTTGTCATCGTGATCGCTATCACGATCATCACTACGATGTTTGAATAACGGTAACCTCTCTAATAAGTAGTCATCTGTAGTAGTCTGTTTAGAATTCTTTTCAATTTCAGGTAAAGTATCCATTTGAAGGATACGTGTAAAATATTGTGATCTTATTGTGGATGTTGCAGTGGCTTGTTTCGTCGGTTTGACTGACTTTTCATCCAAGGTTGGAGAACATTGAACATCTTTATCGTGGGTTAAAACCTCACCTCCTTCACTACCTAATTTTGATGGAATCACTTGTAGTTTTTTATTTTTAAATTGTACTTTTGATGACTGATCACGATCAAATGAGTCAGTGTACTGAAGTGAAACATCTTTTAGGCTTGAGAAGGATTGCCCATATTGTAATTTTTTATCATATTGTTGCGGTGATATCTTGACCTGACATTCCTGATCGATTTTAATCTTGGGTATAATATGTTGTTGTAACTGTTGCGTAGTAGTAGGAGTAACATTGATATTTGATACCGATGAATGTATCATAACTGTTGGCGGTTTAGCTTTCTTCTCCTCAGTATGTTGTTCTAAACTGATGTCTTTATATTCGTAACTTGGTGTTTGAGTGCTAGATGAAGTGACATGTGTGGATATCGCTGTTGGTGTTCTAGGTGATGGAATGGATATAAGATTGACTTGGAATTTCTTATTCCTTTGATCAGTACGTTGTGCATGGAATAATGACGGTAAATCAGTTGTTGTTTGTACACTAATCGATTGAGAACTGACTGTATGACTTGTTATTGATGTAGGTTTTATGGTCTCAATGACATATTGGCATGATGAATCTTTTTGTTGAATAGGCGTAGTTTGTATTGATTTCACTTCAGTATACTGTGATGTTTGCTCTGTTTGACAATGTGAATCAGTTAAGCTGCTACGGACTTGTAATTTCTTCCCCTTCAATTGGATAGGTTCTTTTTCATGTACGACAGTAGTTTCTTTGGTTTCAGCAACTGGAGTCATAGCAACCGTTTGTGTACCATCTACAGCATGTAGAACACCAAATTGTGTTTGGACATCATAGGCAGATGATGGTACAGCTACTTGACAAGACATCTCTGCGACTTTCTTTTCAACAGTTTGTACTGATTGTATACTGACAGGGACAGCATGGATTGTAGATGCTATCGTAGGTAGAACAGCTGGGGTCATCTCTTCTGTTTGAACCTGTGAATCAGTTAAGCTGCTACGGACTTGTAATTTCTTCCCCTTCAGTTGGATAGGTTCTTTTTCATGTACGACAGTAGTTTCTTTGGTTTCAGCAACTGGAGTCATAGCAACCGTTTGTGTACCATCTACAGCATGTAGAACACCAAATTGTGTTTGGACATCATAGGCAGATGATGGTACAGCTACTTGACAAGACATCTCTGCGACTTTCTTTTCAACAGTTTGTACTGATTGTATACTGACAGGGACAGCGTGGATTGTAGATGCTATCGTAGGTAGAACAGCTGGGGTCATCTCTTCTGTTTGAACCTGTGAATCAGTTAAGCTGCTACGGACTTGTAATTTCTTCCCCTTCAATTGGATAGGTTCTTTTTCATGTACGACAGTAGTTTCTTTGGTTTCAGCAACTGGAGTCATAGCAACCGTTTGTGTTCCATCTACAGCATGTAGAACACCAAATTGTGTTTGAACATCATAGGCAGGACGCGTTAGAATCGCTTGACACCAACCATCCGTTTGCAGACTTTGAATTGTTTGTGTTGATTGTGTCTGGAATGGAACAGTATGCATTGTTGACTTAATTATGGGTTGTGTAATGACTTGTGGTACATCGACTTGGAAACCTGAATCAACTAGATTTTTTGAAACTTGTAGCTTCTTGCCTTTTAAAGTGGGCTTCTCAGGAATATGCGCAATACTTTTATCTCTAGTTTCTTCAATTTGTCTTTCATCAGTCACATAATAACTGTCCTGAGTGACATAAACCAATGGGTTATATCTTAGCGTTTGTACTCCTGTATAATCTGTCATAATACCCGACTGGAGTTGTACATCATAACTAGGCGTATGAATATAAGCTGGCAGGACAGTTTGCACATTTGAATCTCTTGATAGAATTCCTGACTGTGTTTGTATATCAAATGTTGATGATGTAACATCCTGTTTGTGTATCGGTATGTCTGTTTGTACACCAGCCACTCGAACTACCTTTCCTGATTCTGTTTGCACATCATAGACATGACTTCGGTGGAGAGTAAGAAGTGATTCATCAGTCTGAATACCACTAGTAGATGTATACCTACGAGACGGAGCAGTTTCACGGGGACGTTCAACGATAAGTGGACTTTCTAAATCCTCAGCTTTATGAGCAACACTTGCATCTTTGAGTTCCGGACGAGACTCTAATTCTCGCATGGTTTGAATCCAGGAGGAACAGGTAGAAGGTTGACACTGAACTTCAGCATTAACAGTATAAGGTGCAAGCTCAGGAGTAGGGGAAGCCGGTTTCCTGTAAGCGATATTAATATCCCGAGTATCCGAAGGTACACGATACTCACTAGAAGTCTGTATCGCTTGCGAAACAGAGATAGTACCCGACTGGGTGACGACGTCGAATGTGTTCTTCGTTAACATCATTGGTTCTGCCTTCATCGGTTCAGTTTGTGTGCTGGTGCTACTGACTGATTGACGAATGGCTGCCTGCAGCTTCCTGTTCGTTGATGGAGTTCTCTCTCTATGATGAATGACACTGACGTCTGAAGTGTCGACGACTGGCCGCACCTCAGGAAGTGTCTGCACTGCCTGTGCTACATAGATAGTACCCGACTGGGTGACGACGTCGAATGTGTTCTTCGTCAACATCATTGGTTCTGCCTTCATCGGTTCAGTTTGTGTGCTGGTGCTACTGACTGATTGACGAATGGCTGCCTGCAGCTTCCTGTTCGTTGATGGAGTTCTCTCTCTATGGTGAATGACACTGACGTCTGAAGTGTCGACGACTGGCCGCACCTCAGGAAGTGTCTGCACTGCCTGTGCTACATAGATAGTACCCGACTGGGTGACGACGTCGAATGTGTTCTTCGTCAACATCATTGGTTCTGCCTTCATCGGTTCAGTTTGTGTGCTGGTGCTACTGACTGATTGACGAATGGCTGCCTGCAGCTTCCTGTTCGTTGATGGAGTTCTCTCTCTATGATGAATGACACTGACGTCTGAAGTGTCGACGACTGGCCGCACCTCAGGAAGTGTCTGCACTGCCTGTGCTACATAGATAGTACCCGACTGGGTGACGACGTCGAATGTGTTCTTCGTCAACATCATTGGTTCTGCCTTCATCGGTTCAGTTTGTGTGCTGGTGCTACTGACTGATTGACGAATGGCTGCCTGCAGCTTCCTGTTCGTTGATGGAGTTCTCTCTCTATGATGAATGACACTGACGTCTGAAGTGTCGACGACTGGCCGCACCTCAGGAAGTGTCTGCACTGCCTGTGCTACATAGATAGTACCCGACTGGGTGACGACGTCGAATGTGTTCTTCGTCAACATCATTGGTTCTGCCTTCATCGGTTCAGTTTGTGTGCTGGTGCTACTGACTGATTGACGAATGGCTGCCTGCAGCTTCCTGTTCGTTGATGGAGTTCTCTCTCTATGATGAATGACACTGACGTCTGAAGTGTCGACGACTGGCCGCACCTCAGGAAGTGTCTGCACTGCCTGTGCTACATAGATAGTACCCGACTGGGTGACGACGTCGAATGTGTTCTTCGTCAACATCATTGGTTCTGCCTTCATCGGTTCAGTTTGTGTGCTGGTGCTACTGACTGATTGACGAATGGCTGCCTGCAGCTTCCTGTTCGTTGATGGAGTTCTCTCTCTATGATGAATGACACTGACGTCTGAAGTGTCGACGACTGGCCGCACCTCAGGAAGTGTCTGCACTGCCTGTGCTACATAGATAGTACCCGACTGAGTGACGACATCGAAGGTATTCGTTGTGGTCCTCTTGAATTCTGTCTGTACGTGCTGATGTACAACTTGTGGTGCATGTGAAACCGATTGCTGATATGGTTTTATTGCTGGCAGTGTATAGTCTTCCGTTTGCAGACATTTTTCATCAGAAGGGCAAGTTACCATAGCTTGTAGCTTTTTGTTTGTTGACGGTGTCGCTTGTGGTGCGTGGAGTACACTGAGATCCTTCTTTTCTGCAACAGGAACAGGTGGGGTTTGAGTTGCCGAACTACACCTCACAGATCCTGATTGTGTCTGGACATCGAATGTTTCTCTACGTATCATGGCGGGGGTGCGCTTTTCTATCATTTCCGCCTGCACGAATGTGTCCTTCAATGGCATTTGAACTATGGCTTGCAACTTTTTGTTTACCGACTGTCTTTGATCTTCATGGGTAACACTCGCGTCCAACATCGCTGGTGCAGTTTGGGCTTCACTTGGCTTCCTAATCACTCCAGATTGTGTTTGTACATCGAAGATATGTATATCAGTCATGTCGGTTTGTACGTTACGATGTGATGTTGGCCGAGAAATGTCGACTTGAATATCCTTACTGAAAGTGACCGTCTTAATGGGTTCATATTGTGTGCAAGATTCCTTGGCATCAACTACCGTTTTAGGCTGAGTAACTGTTTGTGATGCTTGAGTTTTGTGAATGATACCTGATTGTGCTTGCACATCTGACTTTTTAGATTTCACTGGTTGTATTTCGGGGAACATTAAAGCATCTGTCTGTGTCATTGTTTCATCGGTTTCTATAGGACGGCGAGAAGCTTGTATTACGGGAACTTTTGTAACTGGTTGCAATTCGGGTGTTTGTGAACCGATTGTATTTAAGCTAGGTGTAACAAGTGCCTGTAACTTTTTATTTACGGTTTTTGTCAACTCAGCTCTATGTTGTACACAACTGTCTTTAACTTCAACTTGACGGGGAGTAGAAGTTTGAGCTTCAGCTTCGCGACGCATAACACCACACTGCGTTTCAACGTTAAATGATTTGCCTAATGGAAGGTCAGCAACTTCTGATTGTACACTAACATGCTTGTATGGAATCTTTAGAGAAACCTGAATATCTCTGTGAGTTACATCTGCCAACTTTCTTTCGTGATGTACAGATAAGTCTTTCGTTGTAGCGAGCACTCCGACTAAGTCGACTTGAACAACTTCACTCTTGAAAAGCGTACCAGATTGTGTAACGACATCGAATGTGTTCTTCGTCAACATCACTGGTTCTGCCTTCATCGGTTCAGTTTGTGTGCTGGTGCTACTGACTGATTGACGAATGGCTGCCTGCAGCTTCCTGTTCGTTGATGGAGTTCTCTCTCTATGATGAATGACACTGACGTCTGAAGTGTCGACGACTGGCCGCACCTCAGGAAGTGTCTGCACTGCCTGTGCTACATAGATAGTACCCGACTGAGTGACGACGTCGAATGTGTTCTTCGTCGACATCATTGGTTCTGCCTTCATCGGTTCAGTTTGTGTGCTGGTGCTACTGACTGATTGACGAATGGCTGCCTGCAGCTTCCTGTTCGTTGATGGAGTTCTCTCTCTATGATGAATGACACTGACGTCTGAAGTGTCGACGACTGGCCGCACCTCAGGAAGTGTCTGCACTGCCTGTGCTACATAGATAGTACCCGACTGGGTGACGACGTCGAATGTGTTCTTCGTCAACATCATTGGTTCTGCCTTCATCGGTTCAGTTTGTGTGCTGGTGCTACTGACTGATTGACGAATGGCTGCCTGCAGCTTCCTGTTCGTTGATGGAGTTCTCTCTCTATGATGAATGACACTGACGTCTGAAGTGTCGACGACTGGCCGCACCTCAGGAAGTGTCTGCACTGCCTGTGCTACATAGATAGTACCCGACTGGGTGACGACGTCGAATGTGTTCTTCGTCAACATCATTGGTTCTGCCTTCATCGGTTCAGTTTGTGTGCTGGTGCTACTGACTGATTGACGAATGGCTGCCTGCAGCTTCCTGTTCGTTGATGGAGTTCTCTCTCTATGATGAATGACACTGACGTCTGAAGTGTCGATGACTGGCCGCACCTCAGGAAGTGTCTGCACTGCCTGTGCTACATAGATAGTACCCGACTGAGTGACGACATCGAAGGTATTCGTTGTGGTCCTCTTGAATTCTGTCTGTACGTGCTGATGTACAACTTGTGGTGCATGTGAAACCGATTGCTGATATGGTTTTATTGCTGGCAGTGTATAGTCTTCCGTTTGCAGACATTTTTCATCAGAAGGGCAAGTTACCATAGCTTGTAGCTTTTTGTTTGTTGACGGTGTCGCTTGTGGTGCGTGGAGTACACTGAGATCCTTCTTTTCTGCAACAGGAACAGGTGGGGTTTGAGTTGCCGAACTACACCTCACAGATCCTGATTGTGTCTGGACATCGAATGTTTCTCTACGTATCATGGCGGGGGTGCGCTTTTCTATCATTTCCGCCTGCACGAATGTGTCCTTCAATGGCATTTGAACTATGGCTTGCAACTTTTTGTTTACCGACTGTCTTTGATCTTCATGGGTAACACTCGCGTCCAACATCGCTGGTGCAGTTTGGGCTTCACTTGGCTTCCTAATCACTCCAGATTGTGTTTGTACATCGAAGATATGTATATCAGTCATGTCGGTTTGTACGTTACGATGTGATGTTGGCCGAGAAATGTCGACTTGAATATCCTTACTGAAAGTGACCGTCTTAATGGGTTCATATTGTGTGCAAGATTCCTTGGCATCAACTACCGTTTTAGGCTGAGTAACTGTTTGTGATGCTTGAGTTTTGTGAATGATACCTGATTGTGTTTGGACGTCTGATATCACTGGTGGAAGGTGGGTCGTTTGGATTGTCGGGATAACGACAGGTTGTGGCATCGGGTCGGTTTGAGTACTTATATTGTCGAGACGAGGAATGACTGCAGCTTGCAGTTTCTTGTGCACAGTCGGTATACTTTCGAGAGTGTGATACACACTGGCGTCCTTCACCTCCACCACTGGTCGGCGTTCTATTGGTGTTTGACTCTCTGAATCAACCCTGACCACTCCTGACTGTGTTTGAACATCGAAGGCAGGTGGTGGTCTGTAATCCATCGTCTGTGTCTCGATGTTGGCAGTGAGCGACTGCACAACAGCTTGCAGCTTTTTATGAACTGTTGGCTCTGGACGTTTCTCGTGTTGAGTGCTCAGCTCCTTCATCTCTATGACTGGTCGTTGTTCGATTGGTGTTTGCACTGCTTGAGACTTGAGTATACTTCCAAACTGAGTTTGAACGTCGAAGATTTTAGACTCGAACGACGTGAATGACTGTTGGTCTCTGACTCTTGTTCCTTCTGTTTGTGTTTGTGTATCCAATAATTGAGGTGGTCGATGTGTAGTTTGCACCGTCGGCATGATGACAGGTTGTGGCATCGGGTCGGTTTGAGTACTTATATTGTCGAGACGAGGAATGACTGCAGCTTGCAGTTTCTTGTGCACAGTCGGTATACTTTCGAGAGTGTGATACACACTGGCGTCCTTCACCTCCACCACTGGTCGGCGTTCTATTGGTGTTTGACTCTCTGAATCAACCCTGACCACTCCTGACTGTGTTTGAACATCGAAGGCAGGTGGTGGTCTGTAATCCATCGTCTGTGTCTCGATGTTGGCAGTGAGTGACTGTACAACAGCTTGCAGCTTTTTATGAACTGTTGGCTCTGGACGTTTCTCGTGTTGAGTGCTCAGCTCCTTCATCTCTATGACTGGTCGTTGTTCGATTGGTGTTTGCACTGCTTGTGACTTGAGTATACTTCCAAACTGAGTTTGAACGTCGAAGATTTTAGACTCGAACGACGTGAATGACTGTTGGTCTCTGACTCTTGTTCCTTCTGTTTGTGTTTGTGTATCCAATAATTGAGGTGGTCGATGTGTAGTTTGCACCGTCGGCATGATGACAGGTTGTGGCATCGGGTCGGTTTGAGTACTTATATTGTCGAGACGAGGAATGACTGCAGCTTGCAGTTTCTTGTGCACAGTCGGTATACTTTCGAGAGTGTGATACACACTGGCGTCCTTCACCTCCACCACTGGTCGGCGTTCTATTGGTGTTTGACTCTCTGAATCAACCCTGACCACTCCTGACTGTGTTTGAACATCGAAGGCAGGTGGTGGTCTGTAATCCATCGTCTGTGTCTCGATGTTGGCAGTGAGTGACTGTACAACAGCTTGCAGCTTTTTATGAACTGTTGGCTCTGGACGTTTCTCGTGTTGAGTGCTCAGCTCCTTCATCTCTATGACTGGTCGTTGTTCGATTGGTGTTTGCACTGCTTGTGACTTGAGTATACTTCCAAACTGAGTTTGAACGTCGAAGATTTTAGACTCGAACGACGTGAATGACTGTTGGTCTCTGACTCTTGTTCCTTCTGTTTGTGTTTGTGTATCCAATAATTGAGGTGGTCGATGTGTAGTTTGCACCGTCGGCATGATGACAGGTTGTGGCATCGGGTCGGTTTGAGTACTTATATTGTCGAGACGAGGAATGACTGCAGCTTGCAGTTTCTTGTGCACAGTCGGTATACTTTCGAGAGTGTGATACACACTGGCGTCCTTCACCTCCACCACTGGTCGGCGTTCTATTGGTGTTTGACTCTCTGAATCAACCCTGACCACTCCTGACTGTGTTTGAACATCGAAGGCAGGTGGTGGTCTGTAATCCATCGTCTGTGTCTCGATGTTGGCAGTGAGCGACTGCACAACAGCTTGCAGCTTTTTATGAACTGTTGGCTCTGGACGTTTCTCGTGTTGAGTGCTCAGCTCCTTCATCTCTATGACTGGTCGTTGTTCGATTGGTGTTTGCACTGCTTGAGACTTGAGTATACTTCCAAACTGAGTTTGAACGTCGAAGATTTTAGACTCGAACGACGTGAATGACTGTTGGTCTCTGACTCTTGTTCCTTCTGTTTGTGTTTGTGTATCCAATAATTGAGGTGGTCGATGTGTAGTTTGCACCGTCGGCATGATGACAGGTTGTGGCATCGGGTCGGTTTGAGTACTTATATTGTCGAGACGAGGAATGACTGCAGCTTGCAGTTTCTTGTGCACAGTCGGTATACTTTCGAGAGTGTGATACACACTGGCGTCCTTCACCTCCACCACTGGTCGGCGTTCTATTGGTGTTTGACTCTCTGAATCAACCCTGACCACTCCTGACTGTGTTTGAACATCGAAGGCAGGTGGTGGTCTGTAATCCATCGTCTGTGTCTCGATGTTGGCAGTGAGCGACTGTACAATAGCTTGCAGCTTTTTATGAACTGTTGGCTCTGGACGTTTCTCGTGTTGAGTGCTCAGCTCCTTCATCTCTATGACTGGTCGTTGTTCGATTGGTGTTTGCACCGCTTGTGTTTTTACCGTGCTTCCAGACTGTGTTTGAGCATCGTATACTTGTGTTTTGAATGATGTGAACACCTGTTGATCTCTGACTGCAATTCTTTCAGTTTGGGTTGGTGCGTCGAATGTTTGTGTTGGACGATGTGTAGTTTGCGCCATCGGCATGATCCTCGGCTGTGTTATAGACTCAGTTTGTACTTTTACGTCAAATTGTTTTGCAACAGTCTCGACAGTAGCATGTTTCATTACTTTTTGTGGCATATCCATTACATTTTGTATTCCAGTTGATCTTAGATTTACAGTAGGCTTAGGAATTGTTGGTGTTTGAAATGCTTGTGATTGTCTCATTATCCCAGATTGAGTTTGTACATCGTACTTAATATCGCGTTTGGCGACAGTTTGTATTTCTGGAATCGTTTGTACTGTTTCACTTTGTACATATTTATCTGTAGATTGGATAACTGGTCTCCATTCGACAAATGTTGTCTGTGTATCAATGTTTTGTTTTAATACACCGGTTTGAGTGACTACTTCGTAGGGGATAATTGGTGGTGGTGGTGTTCTCAATAAATCTGATGTTATTGTTGCATCTTTAGTCATAATACTTTCTGTTTGTATATCCTTATTTGTCGCCATGGGTTTCATATATACTTGTACATGTCTATTTTGTTTCTCTATCATTGGTGGAGCTTGATATGAGCTGACTTCTCGCACAGGTATGGTTGGTCTTGGATCAACACCAACGGATATCATAGGTGAAGTGTCTGTTGTTGCTGTCATTGTCTGTTCTGTTCTCATCACAACACCGGTCTGGACTACAACATCCAATTGTGGTTTAATAATATGCTTTTGAGTTTTTTCTAATATTTGTGTTTTTACATGCAATTCAGGTTCTATCGTTTGGCATGCTTTACTATCATTCACAACACCACATTGTGTAATTAGATCGTAGCATGATACTGAGCGTCTTTCAGGGAATTTTATTAACATGTCAGTTTGAGCCGAGAATGATGATCTTGATCGATCGAAATGACCAGTTGTACTCTGTGTGGCCATAGGAAATGATTCTTTTTTGTGATCACCGACTTGTACACCAAAATCTTGGGAAATACTACCCACCTGACAGATAACGTCACTTAACGATCGTGGTATAGGCGCCATTTTTGTAAAAGTAACCTGTTGACCTGATTCCTTAGTTTCTCTAGGGTGAGGCAACGGTTGAGTTTCAGTCATTTTCATAAATACTGTTGGTTTTTCTTGTTTGATCAAATCAGTTTCAGTTACTTTTGATGTATGGACAAGACCTGTTTGTGTAACAACATCATTGCTGACTTTTTTATCCCATAGCTGGACGGGATTTACACCGGTTTCTCTACATGTAGGCTTAATAATGGCATATTCAACGGACTGTGTGGATGTTTCATTTTTTAGATGACCAACTTGACAAACAACATCATGCATTGCTTTCGGTGAGAGTTTCGGGGTCATATCTACTTGTACTGCGCTGGTATCAATAGCGTGTGGAATGCTTTGAGTAGCCGCCTGGGATATCCTTCGTCTTTGTGTGTCTTCCATTTGAGAACCGGTGGTTTCTGTAACACTTCCTACTTGACAGACAACATCGCTTGTCGGCCTTCGTAGTATATGCTGAATGAGGTCAGCTTGTTGACATGCGTTCATATTCTCTTTGTATGATGTAATAGGAGCGTCTTTTGTTTCTATCGTTTTCACATACACCGGTTGCTCCTCCCTCAACTCAGCTTGAGTAACTTTTGACGCATGGACAATGCCTGTCTGAGTAACCACGTCATTGCTCACCTTATCACGCACAGCATGAACCGGATCTACGCCAGTATCTCTACACGGTGGTTTAACAATAGCATATTCAACCGACTGTGTTGATACATCATTCCGAACTTGTCCAACTTGACAGACAACATCATTCATCGGTCTCGGCAGGAGTTTTTGTTTAACGTCGGTTTGTACCTCCTTGATATCAATAGCGTGTGGAATGCTTTGAGTAGCCGCCTGGGATATCCTTCGTCTTTGTGTGTCTTCCATTTGAGAACCGGTGGTTTCTGTAACACTTCCTACTTGACAGACAACATCGCTTGTCGGCCTTCGTAGTATATGCTGAATGAGGTCAGCTTGTTGACATGCGTTCATATTCTCTTTGTATGATGTAATAGGAGCGTCTTTTGTTTCTATCGTTTTCACATACACCGGTTGCTCCTCCCTCAACTCAGCTTGAGTAACTTTTGACGCATGGACAATGCCTGTCTGAGTAACCACGTCATTGCTCACCTTATCACGCACAGCATGAACCGGATCTACGCCAGTATCTCTACACGGTGGTTTAACAATAGCATATTCAACCGACTGTGTTGATACATCATTCCGAACTTGTCCAACTTGACAGACAACATCATTCATCGGTCTCGGCAGGAGTTTTTGTTTAACGTCGGTTTGTACCTCCTTGATATCAATAGCGTGTGGAATGCTTTGAGTAGCCGCCTGGGATATCCTTCGTCTTTGTGTGTCTTCCATTTGAGAACCGGTGGTTTCTGTAACACTTCCTACTTGACAGACAACATCGCTTGTCGGCCTTCGTAGTATATGCTGAATGAGGTCAGCTTGTTGACATGCATTCATATTCTCTTTGTATGATGTAATAGGAGCGTCTTTTGTTTCTATCGTTTTCACATACACTGGTTGTGTTTCTTCTCGTACTTCAGCTTGAATTATCTTCGTGGAGAAGACAATTCCAGTCTGTGTAACGACATCATTATTTGCAGTGATTTGTTTTGTCAATGGTTGAACTGGATTAACACCGGTATCTCTACAGGCAGGCTTAGAAGGAGCAGCAGTGACGACAATCGGAGCGAGTTGTTGTTGCTCAATCATTGATTGAGTTGATACATCATTTCTAACCTGACCAACTTGACAAACAACATCGTTAATTGTCTTTGAAACAGATTTTGGGCGAGATATAAGATCAGCTTGGTGACAGAAATTTGATCGTGGTATATTATGTTGGTAAGTGACATCATGAAGTATGGCTTTTTCTTCGATCACATCCGCCATGGTTGCTGTTGTTTGCGTTGATGCAGTTCTTTCTATTTTGCCAATTTGACAGGTGATATCACTGGTGCTAGCCTTCTTAACTAGATTTGGTTGGATAAATAAATTCGGTGAAGTTTCTGTACTAGCATTCATTGTTATCTTGCCGATTTGACAGATAGCTTCAGTGGTTGGTTTTTTATGAATCGGATCAATGGTTGGTTCAACTTGTACACCAAAATGTTTGCTGGGTTTTTCAACTTTTTCTAACTGACTCTGTATACCAATACTTTGTGTGACTTGACCTATTTGACAAATAGCATCTAAGATGTTAAGTTTTTTCGGTGGTTTTTGTTGTGGTTGTTCAGTTTTCATTATGGTTTTTTCTTGAATGTAATCGCATTGAGCTGAATTGTTTTTAGTAATGACACCTGACTGGACTACGGCGTCTAAAGTACACTTTTTAGGTGGTGGTTGTACGACTGGGAGCGGTAGCGGCGTTTCTAGTTGTGGTTTTTGCATTTCCAGTGTTTGACACGATGCATTCGCTGTAATCTGACCTATCTGACATAATACTTCTTTCACAGAACGTTTCTTTGTATGTATTGATGTCGGCAGTGGAAGATAATCATCACCTTGTACGCCTGTATCCGCTCTAGCTATACCAATTTGTGTGATTGCATTTCTCATTAGTTTACGTTCAGGTGGTGGCAATGTAGCTGTCGGTGACGTTGTTGAATAATATTGCCCTTTCATTGGACGTAGTTCTATGTCACCTAAATACTCTGAACTCTGTGTGCCTTGTGTTCGAGTTGTTACACCAATTTGTGTTATCGCATCGACTACAGCACGTGGTATTGAATCTGAACGGAGTGAACTACCAGAGAAACGTGACTGGTCTCTTACAATGGATCGGGTAGGACCAACAGCTTGCGGATAATTATCAGATATTGTGCTTGATTTGATACTTGAACTTAGTCGTGAATTGGTTATACTGGAGTCGATATTTGGTTCATGTTCGAAGCGGCTACTCCAACGTTTTACCCGACTGATTAATTGATCCAGCTGCGATTGACTTTCATGTTGTAATTGGCTACATGTGAAAATTGTGAAGACGAAAAATGAAAATTTAACACTATGAAAAATATACTACCTACAGATTATTATGAATAGGTGGAGGAAGCTATGAATCATTCGGTCTAGGCTTTTAACTTTAAGCCACTACTTCGCCTACCAATCTACTGAATAGAAATATAATGTAATAGAAAAGATTTGTAACTCAGGTGGATGATTTGGAATTGATAGTGTTCTCTGAACTCCTTGGTTTAATTGCGGAGCTTTCATCGCCTTTCTGGACGACATCTTCAGCGCAGTATTTAGGATAAAGTGAAATATACCAACTAATAAGAAGTAAATCAGGTGATCAGAAAGTTTAAAATCCCAATCAATAGAAAACGGTCAATAAATATCTAAAGATGGTTATCGGGAGACTCATGAAGAAATTTAAATCATTTCACTTTATCCTAAATACTGCGCTGAAGATGTCGTCCAGAAAGACAATGAAAGCTCCGCAATTAAACCAAGGAGCTCAGAGAACACTATCAATTCCAGAAATATAATGTGTTTAACTAAATGCGGAACAGAAGTAGCTGCTTGAGTGAAGTGATCTAATAGAAAAAAAGATGACGATTTCCAGTTCGATTTTACCTTAACCGTTGACTGATTAGTCATGTTGATGTGATATGGTCAGAATCTCTTTTAACATGTCGGGTCGTTCCTAGTGTGGACGCTTTGACGATGTTTAAGGATTGATGTGATGATGAGCTGGATAGTTTAATTGCAAAGTGGGTTTCATTGTCTTCCTGTCAGACATCACTTTAAAGCGCAAACTTCAAATTATAAAGTGAGCTTTTAGAATTACTTCCCCACGAGTTTATGAGCCAGTTATCTCTCTCGATAACCTTGAACATGACTGGCGGTTGTCTCTGGAGATTATTTCCTCACCCTCTAGTTCAAATATGTTGGAAATTATTATTTTGTCGACCTAAACGTTGACTTTTTGTCCATGTGAACTCCTTTTTATTCACTAGTAAATGTCATTGATGTCAGTGTGTCTGTCGACTGAATAAATATTCACCCGAGTGCCAAGGCTTCTAGAAATTTCCTGATATTTTTGATGTTTCCTTTGTCTAAGATTTGCACATTTTCGCAATCGAATTGGCTTTCGTGGTCGTCTGCATACTTAATATACAAGGGAATGAACATCATGTCTTTTGATGGCCAGTATACAACGGTGGGTACGAGGGTGTGAACTTTCAGGAATTCTCAATCAATAAGCTTAAGGACGTAAAAAAGATTTACGAATTAACCAGTGAAAAAAGAAGTCACATGAAGATAAGCTCAAGTAAATAAAATGACCAATAAGTAAAACCAGTAGATGGGTAGGTGAGAAAATATCCAGAAGTAACCAATCATTACATATGTCCAAACCAAGTTCACTATCAACGGTTCGAAAAAATTTGAGCATTGGGTATGTCATATTCAAATAGAGGTTTTTGTATTTCCCAATGAATGAAAACCAAAACGATATTGTTGTTTTTACTGACGTTTCGCTATTTAATGCTAATAGCTTTCTCAAAGTATTATTAAACCGGAATTTACAAAATCTCAGCATATATATAACAAAGAGTTAGGGGGTGAGAAAAATATAGACTTAGTTCAACTTAAAAGGACATATTGAAAGTCAAAATAACAATGAAGATCGTTCAAACCAAATATCAAAGGTAATAGTATATCTGTTATTATATCAAAATAAAGTTTACTAACTTGATCATCGTTCGTTAGTCTGGGGTCATTTTTGGTTGTCAAGTTGGTGAATTGGTAAAGATAACAAAATCAAGTGTAGATTGTTGGATTTTATCAGTGTGTAAAATTATGAAAGTAGTGTGTGTTTACATAGTGAACTTGCTTATCACATTTGTGTTGATTTTGCCACTTCATGGGGGAGGGGGGTGTTGTAACCAGGTCAGATTCTGTTTTAGTCCATCATTCCTATTCAGGCAATTTGGATTCCACTTGATATGAAGTGCTTCTGATATTAGACGTTCTTTGTGGTTTCTGAAGTTTTTCTGGATTATTTCAATATTGTCAAAATCAATTTTGTGGCCTGATTCTATAGCATGTAGACCTATGGCTGATGATTTTTGAAGTTTTTCTAGTTCAATTGGATTTCTTGGTGGTCGAAGAGATGCTCTACGGTGTTCATTTCTTCTGATTTTGATTTCTCGAGATGTTTGTCCGATGTAGATCGCATCACATTCCGAGCATTTTATTTTATAGACACAATTAGATAGAGAATCTTTAGGGATTTGGTCTTTTATATGGACAAGGTTGTTTTGAAGTGTGTCCGATGTTTTGAAGAAAACTCTAATGTCGAGCTGATTGAGTACTCTTCTGATATCGTCTGACGTCTCTGCTCTATATGGAATGACGACTGTTGATGTCCATGTTTTCGGAATGCGTTTTCGGCCATACTTAATGTCTGTGTTGATTTTGTTGATGAAGTTCCTTGGGTAGTTGTTTTGCTTGAGAGTTTCAGTAATGTTTGATATTTCTTCTTCTTTTTCTTGCTCATCCGTTATCAGAGAGTGTGCTCGTCTAAGAAGACTTGAAACAACTGAAATCTTTGCGCTGATGGGGTGTGATGATTTGAAGTCTAAATATTTATTGGAGTGGGTTTTCTTCCTGAATATGGATATACTAAAATGTCCGTTTTCCTTTCTCTTAACTAGGCAGTCTAGAAATGGTAGTTCACCGATGTCTGATTCTGCTTCCGAAGTGAACTGGATTTTGGGAGATACACAGTTTATTTTCTCCAGGAATGAATTGTGTAGATCTCGTTTTAGTACTACAAAAGTATCATCCACATATCTTAACCATATTTTAGGAGTGAGTATGCTTGAAAAGATATTATTTTCGAATTTATTCATGTAAAGATCGGCGACTATTGGGGAGACTGGTGAACCCATAGCAACATCATTTGTCTGTCTGTATAAACTCCCTTTAAATGTAAAATAATTACTTTATAGACAGAATTTTAAGCTCTTAATTATTTCACTGGTGTCCAGTGGACATCTTTGTGATAGTGTTGTATCTGATTCTAATAGACTGGAAATGATATCAAGACTTTCGGTAATAGGGATGCTAGTATATAATGAGTTAATATTATAGCTTATCATAATGTCTTCTTAATCAATTTCTCGGTGTTCTATTTGGGATTTGAAATCATATGAATTTCTTACAATATTTTGAGTGTCCTTTTATAGTGGTTGTAGTATCGGGAGTAAGTATTTAGAAAGGTTGTACGTCGTTGAGTCGATGAAATCTATTACTGGTCTTAATGGAAATGTAGGTTTATGTATCTTTAGTTGACGAAACTCTTGATGAAACTCTCAAGCAAAACAACTACCCAAGGAACTTCATCAACAAAATCAACACAGGCATTAAGTACGGCCGAAAACGCATTCCGAAAACATGGACATCAACAGTCGTCATTCCATGTAGAGCACAGACGTCAGACGATATCAGAAGAGTACTCAGTCAGCTCGACATTAGAGTTTTCTTCAAAACATCGGACACACTACAAAACAACCTTGTCCATATAAAAGACCAAATCCCTAAAGATTCTCTATCTAATTGTGTCTATAAAATTAAATGCTCGGAATGTGATGCGATCTACATCGGACAAACATCTCGAGAAATCAAAATCAGAAGAAATGAACACCGTAGAGCATCTCTTCGACCACCAAGAAATCCAATTGAACTAGAAAAACTTCAAAAATCATCAGCCATAGTCTGTCTACATGCTATAGAATGAGGCCACAAAATTGATTTTGACAATATTCAAATAATCCAGAAAAGCTTCAGAAACCACAAAGAACGTCTAATATCAGAAGCACTTCATATCAAGTGGAATCCGAATTGTCTGAATAGGAGTGATGGACTAAAACAGAATTTGACCTGGTTACAACACCCCCCTCCCCCATGAAGTAGCAAAATCAACACAAATGTGATAAGCAAGTCCACTATGTAAACACACACTACTTTCATAATTCTACACACTGATAAAATCCAACAATCTACACTTGATTTTGTTATCTTTACCAATTCTCCAACTTGACAACCAAAAATGACCCCAGACTAACGAACGATGATCAAGTTAGTAAACTTTATTTTGATATAATAACAGATATACTATTACCTTTGATATTTGGTTTGAACGATCTTCATTGTTATTTTGACTTTCAATATGTCCTTTTAAGTTGAACTAAGTCTATATGTTTCTCACCCCCTAACTCTTTGTTATATATATGCTGAGATTTTGTAAATTCCGGTTTAGTAATACTTTGAGAAAGCTATTAGCATTATATAGCGAAACGTAAGTAAAACCAACAATATCGTTTTGTTTTTCATTCATTGGGAAATACAAAAACCTCTATTAACATGAGTAACCAATCATACTCGTGCCTGTTTCCTGCCGGTGTATAGGCATCAGGGCGTGAATAAAGTGTAGGCGGATTATTGCTAGTCACGCTAGTCTAACAACTCTACTATGTTAAATATGATAATTGTTGTAGAAAGGTACTGTAGAAATCGTCAAAATGATATCACTTAGCAATAGATCCTGACTTGCAATAAGCATATTTAACCTACTCAATTAAAGATAGTTCATTATCAACACGTTTTTGATCAGCATCAATTTCACGTAAATAATTAGTCATATGTGTACCAAGTAGTTCAGATTGTGCACGTAAATGTTCCATTTGACGTTCATGATCTCTTAGTCTTAAGAGTGGACTATGCATGCAGACAATATCTTGTTCACGTAGGACAGTTCCACCACGTTGTCGATTAACTAAAATTAGAACAAACAGGAAAATAAAAGAATTATTTATAAAAATAACACTTGAAAATTATTATTAGTAAATATGTACTTTGACTAAGATGGATTAGATATACGTATCAAGGTGACATTTAACTGACATTAATAGCAATAATCGCTTCATTCCAAAAAATAATAATTATACAGAATGGAATTTCCATGCTAGTCGGACCGTTGAGTGAAATCTAAGTGGAGAAGAACAGCTTGGACGCTGGTCCAACAGTAAAATGAAGATTATGTAGTGAAGGGGAAATCAGTGCCAGTCACTGATCTTAGAGCCAGGTGAAAGAATGATAGAAGAGAACTGGATGGAATCAAGATACACAGCTGAATTCTACTCGAAGTGTATGGAGGTCAATCCTTGATAACTGTTGAGACGATAAAATATTTCACTTACTTATTCGATACTCGAATGTTTAGTTATTTTTTTGGCCACTGATTTCAATTGCAGCCTTCATTTAGAATTCAAAATTTAGATTGGATGGTACAAAAAATGAGCTGGATATCAAGATTTTTGTGTAGTGGACGAAATTTAATTCGAGTTAGAAAAGAAACAGGGCAAGTTGGCTATTGTAGATTGTAAAATAAAACGAAAACAAGATGGTGGGTGGTCAGATTCTAGTATTTACAGAAATTCTACACACTCTAATAAGTTATCAGACTTTCATGCATCCGATGCATTTTTGGTTAAGATAGGGTTATTTGAATGTCTATAATAATAATCAGCCAGGAGCTTAGCGTGTAAATCCGAAGATTTAAATGATGAAATTAAACAGATAAAGGAAGTAATATTAGTGAATAACTAAATACCCACTAGAATTTATTCAGAAATGTATGAAGGCCCATTGAAAATGATGAAAATTATATTGGATTCAGAGCTTGTGTAGTACTTCTGTATGAAGAAGGAACAACAGACACCTTAGATAGGATTCTTAAGGAGACTGGAATCAGTTCACTCACAGATAAATGTTATCAGATAAAGGACCAGATAGATGCAGTTAGGAAAAATTGCGCATAATTTACCTCACACCTTGTAATGACTGTTATTGGGTTCAATTACATTATAGGTTAGACTAGTAGATTGGGATCACTTAGATTTTGTAATGTAAACGTTTAGCTAAATAACCGATAAAAAAGGTCAGACAATGCAGTGCATTCACTTGCATGTAATTGTACAACAGGTGAAAGTATAAAACAGTAATATAGTTAGGTGAAGAGGCAGAGAGCCTAGACACTGAATCTCTGCTTATCGATTCAATACCGCACCTGTGCATTCGAAATGATGCAATCCCTATACCGGCAACAAAGAACAAAGGGAAGAGAGACAGAGAATATACATATATATATGTATAAGTCAAACTAGGAAGCCGTGCGACTAGTTTGATATGATTGTGAGTGGCAATAATGTATTCTCGAGACGTCATCTCTGTGTGATATTCGAAAATAAACTTATCTAATACACAAGATATGAGGTCACTGTCATTATTGTTGACTGGTTGTTGCATAACCAACTTTATTCAGAAAGATATTTGACAGGTATGCAAACCATTGATGTTATTCAAGGCACACAACATACAGCCCCACCTGTAAACAAGAATAACTGTAAAATAGTCAACGTATGATTGTCAGTATGGTCGTCAACTACTGACAACCAAAACTACCGTCTTACTGACTAATTAAATAGGGCAATCAAGTAAGTAGTATGTATGCATCTATGCAGGTTGAATACTACCAGCCATATGCTTGATGCAATGTAAATAATAATATTAAAAGTATTATGACCATTGTCACTACTATTGTAGCTATAATTTTTGCTATTATTCTCGTATTCATCTCCATCTATAAATAACATAATAACAAGCGTAATACAGTTAATACTACTAGTGATAATAATAATTGTTATTGTTTCCTTGGGTTCCTAGTGCAACATAGGGCTTCAACTGCACGTCTCCACCTGTTTCTGTCTTCTGCTGTAGTTCTCACCTGCATCCATGTTAGTCCATACTGTTTCAACTCCTCTTCACTCGGTCTCCTCCATGTCACCCTTGGACGTCCCACTCGCCGCGTGCTTCCCTTTCGGATTCCACTCGAGCAATGGCCTGACGCGCGGTGTCACCCAGCGGCGGCCTCCTCAGCGAGTGTCCAATCCATCTCCACTTTCTGCTGCATATTTGTTGGGCGATCGGTTCTTGTTTTAGTTGTTCTCATAGTTTCTTGTTGGTGATTCTTTCCGGCCCGGCCATCTGATCTTCAATATAGAGCGAAGACAGTTGTTGATAAAGGTCTGCAACAGGCTGTTGGAAATATTCTTTGTGACCCACCCGCCAAGTTTCTGATCCTCGATAGAAGAACTAACTGACTTGACGTTTGTATTGAAAATCCGAGTGAATTTTGTTGTTGATACTGAGTGACGAAGATTTCCAGATTGGTTTCAGTCAGGTTGATGAATGTGTTTCTCGCTGGCTTCCCCGATTCCCGCTCGATTTGACATCCTCGTCCGTTCCGACTGCCTGTAGTTGAGACAATGCTCCCTAGATAAGTAAATGAAGTAACCTCTTTCAAATCCCTCCCGTTGATGGTGATTGGCGTTGGATGTTGTTGCTGTTGTTGGTTGGCTTGTTATTTTCATAACCTCCGTCTTGTCTATGTTTACCTGGAGTCCTGTCTTTGCTGCTTCTCCGACCAGTTTGTCGGTTTTCGCTTGTAAGTCTTCGATTGTGTGTGACATCAAACATAATTCATCCACACGCGAAATCCAGGTCTTCTAGGTTCTTCGTGTCAGTCCAGGATATCCCAGTCTTCTCGTTTCCCACTGTCTGACGCATGATCCAGTCCACCACAATTAGGAATATCATTGGTGATAATAAGCCAGCACCCTTGTCTGACTCCTGTGTTTACTCCAAACGCCTCACTGAGTTCTCCATTGTGGATCACTTGACGTGTTCCGTTGTTGTACAGGTGTTGAATAAGGTTGATGAATATTTGGGCTACCCGTAATACTCCAGTAGTTTCCAAATTACTTCGCGGTCAAGGCCGTCGAAGGTCTTCTCAAAGTCTATAAAGTTGAGGTACAGGTTGGATTTCCATTCCATGCTTTGTTCTGTGATAATGATGCGTAGAGTTGCAATTTGGTCAGAACATGATTTGCCTTTCGTGAATGCAGCCAGCTTGTTCTGGTCGGAGTTTTGTATCCCTACCAGTGATAATGGTATTAATAAATACCACACAGTAACTCTGAAGTAGCGAATTCGATTCCATGCATATGCGCAGTTCACAGAAGTACTCAGAAAGCTGAAAAGAATTCGAGTGGTGTAAAGGTGAATGGAGCTAACTAACTGACTAACTACGTAACAAACTAGTTAATTGACTAGCTAACTAACTGATTTATAGATAGATCAATTCATCAGTGTATGTGTGAATATTCCATTTATTTGCTGTCAACTATATGGCTGATATATCGCTTATATCAACAATTTTTTACTAGTGTAACTGTTGCCTTTATAACCATTCAGATATTTATGGCTGCCTTTAGTTTACATTCCATGATGACAGCTGTAATATAGATACTTCAAGTACTACTACTAGAAATAATAATAATACAGATAATGTAATACATTGTAAAGAAACTATTACAAATAAAACAAGTTTATAGGGGCAAGAAGAAAGGTATGTTAGGAATGTTTTGTCATCATTATCGCTACTGTTATTATTATTATTATTACTAGCCAAAGAATCAAAAGAAATTTCATTCTACCACATATAGAGAATGCTTCTGAAATACCAACTAAAATACTAATACCATGAGAAATACATATCACACACGCACACAAAGCAAATACAGCGATTTCTAATTCAATATTCATGTAGAAGAAAAGATCCAGCATCCAACAGTGAAAGAATACAAGATTAACACTCACAATCTGCAAGGTAGAGTTATGTATTAAAACTTATTTTTAATTCACTAATGAAATATACAGATGAAACGGATACAAAATGAGATATTAACCATATAAAAACTAACTGCTGAGATTAGTGTGCAAAGATTGAAAAAAGGCGTCTATCAATAATCATAGCGAAAATTTGGATACGTTGTATGGTTGATGATACATTTTTCTCATAATTTAGAAGAAATGATTTAGAAATTACTCACATACACACACACACACACACACAAATTAATCAACACCAGTAAGTTTGAGGAGGCATCAAGATATCACAAGATTAGAAGAATTAGACGACAAAACTTGTTTTTCAGAAATACAGGTATGTATGATTTCAATCTACACAGACCAAATATTCGCCTACCGCACAGAAGAAACTGTATACCCGAAGAAAATGGGTTTTTATTAAACGGAAATCACTGTAGAAATCCATAGCATAAAGAAGAAGATTCTCATTTTTAACACATATGTCAAGTTGGTGAGCGCTTCTGTATTATTTAGAGATTTGGTGCGTTATCAAAAGCATTTAGAACAGACTTTTATAAACAACGATCTGCTCTGACAGGATACTGAAGATCAGATGGATGGTTGACTACAAAGGATAAGCAGACCATAGGGGAATCTACCAACGAACATCCTACTGCTTGAAAAATACACCGAAGAAAATGTCGATGGATTGGACATACGCTATGGGGACCGTTGGGTAACATCGTATTCCGGTCAGCTTATGTAGCGCAACTCGAAAAGAGAGTGTCGTGTTGAGCGTTCATCTCAGAGTTACGTAGAGGAGATCATGGAAGTAGGAGAAGACAGCTTTCGGATAATCCTGGAGCTAGCTACAGAGGACTGCAAGGAAATGAATGTAATGGGTATCTATCGGCTGAAGCTCATTATTCCACACGGAACATGAGGGAATTACTATATTAACGTAAAGACAATTAATACTGAATCAAGCTGAATAGCCATATTTAATCAACTTCAACCTATCAGAGATATAATCAAATCACTCATGGAGAAAAAATTCAAATAAGTTAACCCTTCATGCACTGAAGTCACCGGTGAAGATGTCTAGAAAGATAATGAAAGCTTTGCAGTTAGGCCACCAACATCCAGTTGCTCAGACAACAGCTGGATTACATGGAAAAGCAAAAAAGACAATCAGCATAGTCAACACTTACTATCTGCCATTTTAAGTCTATCCGTAAATGCATATATTGCTTGACCTAATTCACTAGTTCTGTTATTATCATTTGGTAGAAGAAGATGACTGCGTAAATCATCAAGGAAATTATCCATTGCGGTCTTATTGTTATAATAAATATCCTGGAAAGAAAAAAAAACAACAACTAGAGAAAAGAAAAAGGGTATTCATTGTCATGTAAGAGTTTGGGAACCATGTGTACGTACTATAGAATAAATAATTTCCATATTAGTCCAGGGAGCACTAGACGGGTATGTTGTCTGCCTAGTTTTGAACAGAAGTAGTATTTCACTGGTCATTGAATTCTAGCCCAGATGCCTGAAATGGTCAATGAGTTTTGCGTCATCGCCTGAAAGTGTTGGATAGTTCGATTCCTGATGAAGTCGTGTTTGTGCACTACTGAAGAGCCCCGGACCGGAAGTACGAAACACCTGTCCATATATACATATATGTAATGTTACGGCGAAGAATGTTTTAGCTATTATTTTCCGAAGTTTCAATGCCAGAAATTACCCTTAAAATTTTCCACTCACTGCATAATTCCAACGCAGGTGAAGGATAAGCTACCAAGTCTAGCCACTTCTATGTACATCTATAAATTTAAGTCTTTATATGAAGATAGTTATTAAGGTAGAACGACACGTCGCCTTCTGTAGCATTGTCCAACGTAGTTTGTTAGAGGACTCGTAAAGTCATTGAGATGTTCCATACTGCCACACTTTGTGGATACGTAGCACAAGACTGACAAAAAGTCACCTTTTCTATACAAGATGCCACCTCAGCTACCTGCATTGGTACATCTTCGGTTGCTAAGCTTAACTGTGAGGCAGTTGGCGTAATGATTTTCCAATACAATTTCGGTGTCCAGATAATGTTTGTTAAATCTCTCTCTCCCGTGGCCTTCACCCCTAACCTAAAACAGGTATCTCTCCTGGTGAAACCGGATAACTGTAAATATTGTCGTATTGTATTTTTATTTAATTTAATTTGTAATGATGTGTATTATCAATATCATGCTGTGCTGTAGTTGTACTTTTTATTCTCGGTTTAACAATTTATCATTATTATATTATCTAATCGCTATGTGGTAATAGTTATCTTCCCTTCTAACCCCACTAGTATGCACATTCTAACTATACACTCACCGTTGCCTAGATCATATAAGCACTTGAATGAATTTACCCTTACTATTATTGTTATTATTATCCATTAATTTACAGCTCTGATCCTTCAAGTTTTATTAACTGCATTGTACAAAAATGAACAGCTTTCTATTAAGAGTCAGTAAATAGTCTTTGTCTAATGGTCTTAAACTAAATGTTAATTTCACTTTCCCACATAAAAGAAAGTTAAATGAAGTTGTCAATTCCCATGACCTTTGTAAAATTGATGATACTGATATAGAAACCAAGTGTGATGTTAAGTATCTTGGATTAATTCTATCTTCTCACCTATCCTCGTCTTCCTATGTCGTAGCGATTTCTTAAGAAGTATTCCGTCCGACATTTTACATTAAGAAGTTAAGGCACTCAGGCATAACTCAACCCCTCCACACACAGTTTGTCAGCTCTTGCTTCTTACCTAGTTTTCTTTTTTATTCGGCCTTATTTTTCCTGGGTTGCTTAAAAAATACTGTATCATACTTTGTAGGACTCTGAAGACTGTCAGTAAGGCTAGTGGTATCCCACTGGGCCCTATCGTTGACATTGTCACTGATAGGCACTTGATATCATGCAACAAATTTGCTAATGGAATTTTGTCAGACTGTAATCATCCATTTAATCCACAACTTTCAGTTTGCGTCTCCTCAGGTAAAATAAGAAGTCATTTCAAAAGACTTTATGCACGGATATGTAAGTATAAAAATTACACCTTACCATATTCAGCAAGTATTTTGTGTGGTGAAAATAATGTCAGTCATGAACTAACTAACCTTGTTCCCACTTTTAAATAAATAATTTTCTCCACCCTTGTACCACCAGGTGTAAACATCATTTAAGCTCTGTAATAGTTGTTACTTTTTGTTTATCCCTTCACCATGCTGTGTCAAGAGAACATTCGATCCACTACTTAAATAACATGCTAAAATTTCCATACTGTATCGATAATACTGTTTGAAACAAACCCATTGTTATAATTATTATTACTATTATGATAATCATTATTCTCATTTCATACTTTGCAGATTTTTGACATTATTCCTACTGTAAATTTGGATACGTCTCTGTAGTTAATATAATTTATGAAAACAAAACACGTAGATCAGCGAAGAGTCTCTTTTCGGCGAATTCATTTTCTTAGCTGTACAATCGCAAATATATATGCATTGTTTTGTATGTATGTGTACATTAAGTTTGTCAAACAAAGTTACAATTGGTTAAGGTTACTTTTAACTAAACAAGTGGAGGATGGTAATACAGGTCAAGAAAATTAAGTGCTAATGAAACTAGGGTAGTAAAAAAAAATGATGAGTTGTCACAAACAGTTGTAATAATAATAGTGAGTTTTACTCAGGATGAACATAGAAACAAAGTAGATAATGCGAAACTATGTAAGAGATCTAAGTGGATACAAGAATTATAATTGCTTAAGGTTATTTTAACTAAACAGGTAAAGGTTGGTAATCTAAGTCAAGACCATTAAGTGCTAGGGTAGTAACAAAGGTGATGAGTTGTCACAAACAGTTGTTAAAAGAAGTTATGCAATAATAATATGAATAGTTTGATGAGTGAGTTTTACTCAGGATGCACATAGAAACAAAGTAGATAATACGAAACTACGTAAGAGTTGTAAATGAATACAAGAATTATAAGCAATTAAGGAACAGGCGAAGAAACAAAATTAAGTCATCAAAATAAAAATAAAAGCTCAAAACAAATCAAAACATTGTTACCATGAGAGTAGAAGTGGTTGAGTAATCTTCTTTTGTATGCACAGCTCCGGTTTTTCCATGTGAATGGCCAGAGCTTCAGCGATGCAAAGGAGACGAAACCGTATTGCCTTTGATATGTTATTCTTGACTCTGTAGATTACTTTGAAGGAGGCGTTCGTTTTTTTTACTACCCTAGTTTCATTAGCACTTAATTTTCTTGACCTGTATTACCATCCTCCACTTGTTTAGTTAAAAGTAACCTTAACCAATTGTAACTTTGTATGACAAACTTAATGTACACATACATACAAAACAATGCATATATATTTGCGATTGTACAGCTAAGAAAATGAATTCGCCGAAAAGAGACTCTTCGCTGATCTACGTGTTTTGTTTTCATTAATGCCTGGATGGGGATTATCCATGAATATAATTTATGTTGAGTAAATTAGACGCAATATTGTGACAAATGCTGAGAATTCCATTCATTATTCATTCAAATGCCTATGACTAATATGTCATCATCATGCGACTGCAAGTTCTGGTGAAAATTGATCGAAAATACGAATTTGTTTGCTTAAATCATGGTCCGTGACTATATATATATATATATATATATATATATATATATATTGTTGAAGTTGCAGAATAGTAAAAAATTAACGGCATAACTTACCCCATTTTCAGCCATTTGATTTAATAGACAACTATAGTACGATCTTAATCGTTCACGTGAACGCTCCACTAATAAATCCCATGATTCAATACATTTCTCACGAAGTCTAAAATGTTAATAAGTAATAATAACAGATATTGTAACACTTGTGAAAAATTGTAAAATATAACATGGTTTTATTCAAATATACAAGAAATCTACGATATATTTGAAGACATTATTTCCAACCCTCTATATTGGTTACTCTTCTAGATATAATATGTCAGTGGTCAATATTACATTTTTGTAAATGTGTTTTTCAGCGGAATCTAAGGCTACACCGACACAACTGCACTATACAGTGTTCTCTGTTGTCTTTTATATTTGACTGCATGATTACCCATAAGCTTTGTTTTTGTCTTCACCCCATAATCTTCTCCATACCACATTCGTACTCACGCCCAACTCGTCGCTCACTCCCCATTAGAGTTCCATTCGGCGGTGTGAACGACACGGGATGTCACATGATATTCCATTAAGCGTATGTCTCATCCATCTATCTCCATCTCCTTGTGCATATTTGCTGAAAAATAGCTTCCTAATTTGTCCATTGTTGCGTGATTTTCTTTTCTGACTGGCCATCCAATCTTCAGTATCGAGGTAGCGAAGATAATTAGCTTTTTATAAAAGACCTTATAAGCCAGCTGGAAATACTTTTGGCGACGCATCTGTCAAGTCTCTAAACCACATAGAAGCAGTGACTGTCTTGAAATTGATATTGAAAATTCGGATCTTGTTCCACATGATTTCCATTTGGACTACATGGACTCCTTGCCTAAAGATAGGCAGAAGTGAAATGTTAGAGTGTGTTAGCCATCACTTCACTTATTTAACACAATGACAATTTCGCTTTATTCCAGAAACAGTACTTGTGGTACAGTGTGGAGTTTTCAGCACATATCTACAATATTGCATCTAATTTCATCGTACATTTAAAAGGAGTATTATAAAAAAAAAATAAAATATATCAAAAAAAACAACAAAAAACCAAAAAAAGAAACACAGAAATAACAAAAAAAAATGCAAATAAAAATACCAAGTAAAAAGGAAGGTAAACACAAATAATGAAAAAAATATTTCAGTTACATTAGCCTCAACGAGCTAATGGTTGACTAAATATGAGAACAGATACAAAAGGCTGGTGTGGCAATAGGCAACCAAATCACCTCTGACGTAGAACTGGATGATATGCGTGTGAATCGCACAGAGGCAGACGCTCCTTTTGTCCTTTTTGGTGGCTGTAAGACATGGACATAGAAAGTGGAAACTATGAAAAAAGGGACTATCTGACTTTGATCATAGGCGTCTGAGTTCTGTTTCTCATGTCAGGTGGTATAATATTTAGTATAATTCCCTTGCGTTCCCAGTGGAACACATAGCTTCAACAACACACCCCCACTTTGTTATATTTTCTGCCGTCCTCTCCAGCTGGGTCCACGACTGTTCCTAATCCCTCATCTCCTCCTCACATGATCGCCTCCATGTTACCCTCACACCAATGACCCACTCGTCGCTTCCAATTCGGATTCCACTTGAGGGCCTGGGGCGCGATGTCATTCTACGGCTTTTGGTTGGCTCGCTTCCACAGCCTCTTGTTACTATTTCTTTCTGGCCGTTCGGTCTTCAAAATGGAGCAAGCGAAGGCAGCTTTTGATAGAAGTCTGCAAACTTTTGGAAATCCTTTTTGTGACACGCTGGCCAGGTTTCTGACCCGTATAGAAGGACCTACTTGCCATTGTTGTTGAAAATCTAAATCTCGTTCCTTATGTTGAAGATTTCCAAACTGGAGACGTATCTTGCTGAATTTGAAATCTCCATCCGTCCTGGCTATGGTTGGAACTATGCTTTCTAACCGCATAAGTGAAGGAAAAAACCTCTGTCATCCTCTCCCGTTGATAGTGATTGGTGCTGATTGCTGTTGTCTTCATTACCTCCATCTTCCCTATGTTCACCTGGAGTCCTGTCTTCGCTGACAGTCAGCCTCTTCGGCCAATTTTCTGGTTTTCGTCTCCAAGTCTTCAAGTTCGTGTGACATTAGATAGATACCATCTGCGGAATCCAGATCTTCTAGAGCCTTCTTATCGGTGGTCAAGCGTAATACTATCTTTTCACTCCTTGTGCTTAGTCTGAAGCATAATCCAGTCCATCACAATTGAGAATATCATCAGTCATAATAGGCAGCCAGCTTTTCTCACTACTGCATTACCTTCAAATGTTTCGCTGAGTTTCCCGTTGTGGATCACTGTGGTGATTGACTATTTCTATCTCTGTATTGTTTAAATACTTACTGTTGATTGTCAATATGTTTCTTATATGAATTGCATAATAATTCCGCTAAATACAAATTCCTGAATTCCGCCCTCTCTGTGTTTTGGTTGAATCCCTGTAATTCGGTCATCTCGAAATACTAATACTACGATTACAAATAATTACAACAATCACCTGATACGTGGCACCTTCACCTCATGAGGTTGATAGAGACTTGAGTCCCTCCGACTTTATAACAGGGTGAGGCGTTGAGTGTTAGGTAAAGAGAGAAAATCTATCGATGAGATTGTGAAGTAGATGCATAGACTAAGATGGTTAGGAAATGTGTTACGCATGGACGCCAAACCATCGCCTTCCTAGAAGGTAAATGTTAGCTGTTTTGGGATTATTTTCGAAAAGAGTCAATGGTGGTCAAACGAAAACATGGAAGTAATCCATTAAGTTTTCAACAGTTAGTTTTAGCCACGTAGGTGGATACAGACTTGCTGGCTGGTAGGGGTTCTCCGGATGGTAAAAACCACTGAAGACAATCGTTAATATGGCTCGAAATCGTTCTGAATGGCGCAAATGCATTCATTCTTTGAGATCCGACATTCTCAAAAATCCTATTGTTTTCCTATTCTTTCTCCCTCGTGTTTCTTCTTCTTATAATTCTTCCAAGTCTCTTTCTCCTTTTTTGTTTTCGTTTGCGTGCTTCATGTAGTGTGCCAAGTTGAACTGGCCCAAAGCTGTGTGCTAAAAATAGGCAGTCAGACTTCTATGCCGATTTAGGAGTAATGAAGGTCTGTCTTGCTTTTCCCATCTTTACCGGCTTTGACATCCTCATCTGCCTTGCCTATAAATGAAATGATACCGCCTAGTTAAGTGAAAGAGTTGACCTCCTTTAAGTTGCCCCGGTTAACGCTTATTGCTGCTGTTGGTTATCATGTATCTTAATCACCACTGTCTTCTCTAGGTTTAAATGAAGTTCAACTTGTTGGTTTTTGCCTGTAGATATTCCATATTTTGTGAAATTATACACAAATCATTCTCGAAGTCCAAATTTTCCAGTGTCTTCTTGTCAGTCCAAAATAGGCCTTTCTTCTAGTCTGTTGTATGATCCAATTAATTACAATGCGAAATATCATCGGCGATAGTAGGCAGACTTGTCTTACACTCCTGTCTTTACTATATAGTCTGCAATGAGCCTTCCGTTGTGAATCGCTTGGCATGTGGTAATGTCATATAGCTGTTGAATGAGGTTTGTGGGACTGTAGTTTATAATGTGATATTTTTTAAATTGCTTCATGGTTGTTGCTATCAAAGGCATTTACTAATCTGTCTCGAGTCCAAGGAAAATGAGGAATTAAGCAATACCATTCTGTAAAACAGAGATCCAATCTTATCTTCATTGTGACTTCACCATAGATAATAAAATCAAAAATTAAAAAGTGAAATACTTACATTACAGCACGTTTTACAGCCTCTAAATCAGGATCGCTGATCCATAAGCATACTGAAGGGATTTTGACTATCCCATTATTCGTCTGTACTGTCCAAAAGTGTTGGTCATCACGATTTGAAATAAGACGAACTTCTTCGCCTTCCTTCAACTCATAATTCGGTCCAGTTAATGAGGTTAACATACGTGCCATCACCGGACTTGGGGTTTCAGTATTTGTACTCACTCCGTCGATGATACCGCCTAATCGGAGATGGATTGGTACAATACGACGACTTTCTTCTAATAGATTTCCTGATCTACCCCATAAGTGTATCATATGATTCAAATGTTCCTATAAGAATTATGAAAAAGACGAAAAGTTACAAAAAAAGATCAATAAACCCATCAGTAGTATATGACATTCTGATATAAATAAGCGTAAAATGGATTATTTTCAATGGCTCCAAGAATTAAGTCATCAATTGGGGAGAAAAGTTGTTTCAGTTTGTAGACCTTTTCATGAAACAACAGCAATAGTTATGAAACATCGGACACCATCAGGGATCACTAGACATCTGATTATCACCCCTGACTGACTTTTCAGCAGTACATGCTTACGACCTCACCAGGAATCGAAAGAACCAAGATATTCAGATTATGAGGACAAGCTCAATGGTCATTTAGTCACGTTTCGACCAGAAATCAATGACCCATGAATGCTAACTTATTCAGTAGTTCATGAAATGCATAAATCTCAAAGGGTGTAGAGATGATAAGATTAGCAGACGATTACAATGTCACACAACACGGTGATGGTTATGATAAGAAAAGATTGAAAAGAATTTATATAGAATTCAATAAATAAGGGTAACAAGTTAGATAATGCCGAAAGTTATTCAAAGTGAAAATAATTATGACGCCAATCGATAAAAAAAAGAAGGATATACAAATTGAGTACTGTTCAATAACCTGAATTAGAAGATCCCTGAGTTAACTAACTCTATGCGCGTTTGTCAGTTCACTTGCTTTTCTACAGCCAGGTATATCTGATGTTAGGAGCAGTTTTTTGTCGAAGAGGGAAAAAATGCTACCCGGTGTGTTTACAAATGGATGGAAATGGGGTTATGAGAAGCGCAATCAATGAACATCTGATCAATATGATGGAGAAGATTTGTAGCTCAAGTAGATAATTTTGATGTGGTTGTATTCTCTGAGCTGGATAGTTAATTTGCGAAGCTTTCATCGCCTTACTAGGCAACATCTTCAGAGCATACTTCAATTTGAAGTAAGCTTTTAAATTCCTCTACGAGTTTATCAGTCATCTCTCTTGGTGACCCTGAACGTGATTGGTTGTTTTTGTGTTTTCACACCCTCTAGGCTCCTTGTATTGGATCTCATTGTTTTTTGACCCTTTGTTTGTGAGGTTTCCTTCTTATCGGTTGGTAATTTTTAACTGTCTCGGTGTGACTGTAACGACAGAAGAGGAGAGTCAGACAACAGATCGTTTATTGAGAAAACCAAAAGATATTTATAGAATTTTATGTCCATAATATTCGTTATTATTAGCAGACAAACTGAGTCTTCTGATTGGTCGATTTTCACTGGAAGTTATTCTGTCAACTCTTTGTTACCGTTTCGTAGACAGTTAGGTGATATATCTGCGAATCGTATCCTCCCACGCTAAGTCTGCTGTTATTGGTTGTTGAGTTAATCTTTGTTCTTGTTTTTTTCATGACCAAGATTTGGGACGTGAACATTGACGTAAATTGCTATCTACCAATTTCGACTAGCAGACAGCTCTCATCACATGTCTATTGATTGATGATTCACTGAAATAGCAGGCTTCTAAAAGTTCTCTAGCATCCTTGGTGATTCCTCTGTCTAATATTTGAACGTTGTCCCAGTCGAATTGATGTCTGTGGTTGTCTGCATGCGGTGAGGCCATATGAGGGAGTGGATATCATGTCTTTTGATGGCTAGCTTACGCTCACCGAGACGAAGACGAGGGGGACGTCCACTTTGGTCAATGTAGTGTTTTTCTCAGCTGTTACAATTTATTTTGTATATGATGTTGGTTTTATCTTCTTTCGTTGTTGAGTCTTTTGGTTGACATAGAGCCAGCTGGGTGAAGTGATTTTGTTGGTTTTTGTGCGAAGTCAATTCCTAAAGGTTTGAAGAGTCTTGTAGTGATTTCTGAGATATCCTTTATTTATGGTAAGGCGATTTTCCTTTTGCTTTCTTTGGGGGCTTTTGCTTTGACAGGTTGGCTTGGGGTTATATGTCTTTTGATGAAATTCCGTGGATATCCATTCTTTCGGGAGACTTTTTCTATAATTTTCTATATAATGCTATGACGTCAAGGGATATCATTATTTCTTGGTCATATATTTAGATGCCTCCGGTCTTCTCTATGAATTGGATAGCAGAACTGATGGAGTGATCACAAGATTCCATTAGGTGTTTCAATTTTCTGTATAATTCTTTGAACGAATTGTATGTCTGAGTTCCTGGGAGTGATACAAAGCCATCCAAAGCCTCAGGATGGTCGGGGGTGGGTGTCTTGCGCTGCGGGTTGGCCACCCCTCCGCACACCTCTTGAAATGCTCCCATATGACCGTGCGTCTTACATAGCCTCTCCTGAGGAAGTCCTACTCACTGCCTTCACGTGGCGGAGGTGTTTCTCACTAAAGTGAGAGGGCAAAAGCGGATGCCCGGCGCTCTCCACCGGGTTGACTGTCCATTGGATGACAGTCTAGGGGAGATGGCTAAACCCTGATTCCAAACCTCCAACGATTGGCGTATGAAGCTCACTGGAGCTCACCGGCAGACGTATGGACAAAGGGCTTGTTGGATGTCCTGGATGTCTGGCCCCATTCAAAAAGGCGTATGAACCGAACTCCGGTCACCGGCTGCCAATGGATAGTGGACTCCTTACTCCACTCCTACTGCCTTGTAGGTCACACTTGGCTGTGTAAAGGCTAGAGCTGCACTCTCAAACAAAAGGCCGAGCGATGCTGGGGACATCACTCGTACCAAATTCCCAAGAAACTTCATGAACTCTCCTACAAACAACTCTCACCATGCTACGGCGTTCCCGGTAAGCGACGCGCCCTGTGCTCACCCGGTGGCCAGTGTGAAAAGTAAGCTAGCTGGGAAATTAACACTTAGAAACCAACTATTTGTTGGCTGCTGGAATGTTAGGACGCTGTTGGATCCTGGTAGCCAGTCTATCACCATGCGTTCTTTATATGACTACAAGGTAGACATAGCGTGTCTATCTGAAGTGAGGTTACCCGATCATGGCTCCCGCCGAATAGCCGTTCCTGGAACAGATTCTTCATTCTGGTTGCTTCATAGTGGCCCCCAGAATAATTCGGGACAACATGGGGTAGCATTTGCTCTCAGTAACAAAGCCAATAATGCCCTAATATCATTCGAACCGGTCAACTCCAGAGTTGCAGTCGCTAGGTTCAAGGGTTCCCCGCTCGACATTTCTGTTCTCGCTGTCTATGCCCCAACCCTCGACTCTGATGAAAGTATCAAAGACGAATTTTATGACAATCTTCAAGAGGCAATCAACAAAATCCCAAAGCGTGACGTTCTCATAGTAGCCGGCGATTGGAACGCCCGCACTGGCCCTTCAGACGACGCGACAAAACATATACTAGGCAAACACGGTCTCGATCAGCGCTGCCGTAATGGTGATAGACTTTTATCTTTTTCTGATTACAATCGATTATATATCACCAACACTCGATTTCAACACCCCAGAAAACATCTTCTCACCTGGTATTCGAACGACGGTCGCACTGCACATCAGATCGACTACATCCTAGTGCGCTCACGCTGGATCTCCTCGGTGGAAGACTGTCGATCCTATCGTGGAGCAGAGGCCGGAAATAAAGGGGGATCAGACCATACTCTAGTTAGGGCGAAATTCAAACTTCGTTTAACGACACGCCAGAAGACGCGACCTCCGAAGCGTATCAATGTTGCCCCGCTTCAATGTTCTACAAGACGACAAGCCTTGTCCAAACAAATCCAGGCCGAACTAAGCACCGCAGATGAACCAACATCCACATCTTCTAATACACCCGAGACACGATGGAATCATTTCAAAGAAGTAGTCTCTAAAGCTTCAATGACGCATTTGGGTACCACATCCAAGAAGCAGAAAGACTGGATTTCAGAGCACACCATGCTTCTATCCTCGCAAGCCAGAGACGCTCGCCTAGCAAAGTCTCCAGTTTATCGCTCCCTCAGGCGCAAAGCTACACAGTCTGCTAGGAACGACAGAAATCGCTATTGGTCTAACGTGGCGACTAACATGGAAGCAGCATCAAATGTAGGCGATTTCGGAAAACTTTATCGCCTCTTACGCCAATCATCTGGCAAACGCCTTAACAGTCATGCTGTGTTACGCACAGCATCAGGAGAAATTATTTCGGACACCAATGGTAAGATGGAACGATGGGCCGAACACTTCAAGCAGCTACTCAATCGCGACGCTGGTCAACCGTCTCATCGACCGATACGACACTTACCAACACCCTACGTAGTTGACTGCGATCCACCCACTCCAACCGAAATAGCTAAAACAATTAACACACTCAGAAACAAAAAAGCTCCGGGCGAAGATGGTCTACCCCCAGAAATATACAAGGCCTGCACTCCAGCGCTAATCGATGCACTGCACTCGCTGTTCTGCTCAATTTGGGAGTCCGAAACCATTCCTTCCGATTGGAGCACCTCAGTTCTGCTACCGTTCCACAAAAAGGGAGACAGGTCAATATGCGAGAACTACCGAGGCATAAGTCTGATTGATATCGCTGCTAAGGTTTTTGTTTCCATTCTCCTGAACCGCTTCGCGGCCGAACGCCACGTGCGAACAAGGCCAAATCAAGCCGGATTTCGACCTGGAAGAGGCTGTGTTGATCAATTATTCACACTGCGAAGAATTTTGGAACACAGGGACAAATTCCAACAGCCGACGGTTGCTTGCTTCATCGACTTCCAAGCGGCATTCGACTCAGTTGATCGAGGAGCACTCTGGTATCTAATGGAGCTCGACGGAGTTCCGACCAAGCTAATCAACCTGCTCAGGTCATACTACTCCAACACCAAAGCTCGAGTCCGAGTGAACGGTGAAGAGTCCCGCACTTTTGAGGTAACCAGCGGTGTCCGGCAAGGTTGTCCAGCATCCCCCATCCTGTTCAATTTCACAGTTGATTGGATTTTGCGGCACGCCCTAACCGAGCACCACGGCGTCCAACTTTCGCCCGATATTCACATAACCGACCTCGAATTCGCCGACGACGTCGTGCTGTTAGCTGAAAACTTCCCCGATATGCA